TTAGATCGCATATAACAGGCAAATTGAAACTATCCCAAAATCCTAAACTTAAACTTTTAATTTTGGAATAAATCTTAACCTGGTGGCACCAGATTTTATGAACAAACTAATTTGATAGTTCCTCTAGTATTTTTAGGCGAAATTTATCCGTTCATATGGCTATAGAACGTTTTCGCATTTACGCTAATGCTTGTTCTTAATAAAAACCTTAACCCTTAACCTCCCATTCTAGTCCTACATGCCGAATCCTAATTAGAAGTATTATACATATACTATTGTACAGCTTGACAGTACGTTCGTGGGAAAATGATTCCTGTGCTGAACTCCATTTTTTTAATACTTAAATGAGAATGATGTCCACCTACGACACATAAACTCGTCTCAATGTACATAGATTTTCAATTATCTCGAACTTTTTAAACGAATCAGACAGATCCTTAACAGTCCTCACATTGTTTTTAACTAGGGTTAGGTACACATTTTATTAGGAAATTGAGACAATCAATAGACTATTCATGTAAAAAAATTTTACACTGAAATATTACCATAAACTATTTATTTTTTTAAAATAAAGCTGTTTTCTGACTGTCTAGAACCCAGCAGATATCAAAAGAAAGAATAGCAACTAGAAAGGATCGCCCAGGACAGATTTCGGTGGATAATGCTGGTAGACAGCCTATGCTCCTCCACGAGAGGTGACAGGCGTAAGTATGTAAGTAAGTACCTAGCTAAAAAGTCATCGCGATTATTTTAAGCTTGTCCCTATACTATACTGTCTGTAATCTATGACTTGAGAATGTATATACTGAAAGTAGCTATTCATATAAATAAATAGATAAGTATTTTTTTTCAAATATTAAACAGACAAACAAACAAACAACAACTTGATCACTAGATGAAAAAAAAGAGGTTTAAAAGAATGAAGTTCCGTTTTCATTTTATACTGATAATCAGGTTCGCTATGTGTTTTGTTTTATTAATCAGAGTACTATCAAATGATCATGTAGCATAAACTGTAATGATTAAGCATGAATAGTTTTGTATCTTACTTACAAAGAAGCCGAGTTATGAAGATAACTACTCATAATAAACAAAAAAATCAATTAATAGTTAAATTCATAAGTCGATTCAAGTTAGACCACCATTGAAAATCTGTACACAATGAATGGCCATTTTGTCCTAGTATAGAACTTTTCAACAGTGAGCATATACGGTCCCGCCCGTGGGACTCGAACCTAGAACCCTAGGTCTGGTACACGGACATTTAGCCTCTAGACCACTGAGTCCGCACCCAATAATGTTAATATCCAACTTCAACCAATCTATGGAATCAATGAATGAATGTGATCAATATCATATAAATTTTATGAGTTAAAGATAATTTTCGAAAAAGAAAGCAATACACTTCTTTCCTCTTTTTTCTTTCTATACACATAAAGTTGTTAAGATGACTGGCACGTGCTTATCTCTACTAACCTCATTATTATTATTATTATCAACAGTGCTTCAATTATTATATTTATAGTTCATCTAATACACATAAGACACAATATGTGGATTGAAGTAACAATCAAGGAGCGTGTGTGAGTATGTTTATGTATGTGAAAGAGAGAGAGACATGATAGTAAAATCAAAGTCAAATGCCGTAATATGATTAATTTGACAGTCTATAACTATAACAAATAGTCGTCTCTTCATTACTCACTCAATATGGATATGGATAAATTGAAAGAGTACATCTGGTTAAGCGAAAATAGTTTACGGTGACTGATCATATGTGAATATCTGCTAAAAAGAAACGTAAGTTGGATATCGTTTACAGAGAGTTATAACTAACTAACTAACTAACTAACTAACTAACTATGTGTCAAAATGGTATTAAAAATGATATTTAAACTTCATGAATAGAATAAATACAAATACACTTAAATCACAAATAATGAATAGTTAAGGTTAATAATGACTGGTAGGAAAAGGATATTAATTAATTAATACTTATTATGAATAATAATTACTAACATATCCAGGTGGTTACTTCTTATCCATTATTTATTTGTGCTACTATCAAAACTACTGCCAATAATAATTACAACAATATATCATTAACTACAAAACGAGTTTTATAGTAATTTTCTTACTTTATAGAATGAATGAATTGTGAATTGATTTCTTTTAAGATATCGTTGAAAACTAAGGAGGACTGAGTGACTGTTTCTTCTTAGTATCGAAATTTCCAACAGCTTGTAGTTAAGAACCCACTAGAGATCAAAGTTAAGAGCTTCAAATTTTGTGGCACCGTTAGGGCTGCTAGGTCAACGTAGAATGATCCAGTTTCAACTCCCATGTTAAAAGTGTAACAATTCTCATTAATTAAGTAAAGTGATCATTGTTCTAAATCTCAAGGCGATTGAAGTTATAACCATACCATTGAATTCACTTGATATTGTTTTACTTGAATCTTCCCATTGATGTTTTTGGACTGAAATTGATCAGTCCAAAAACATCAATGGGAAGATTCAAGTAAAACAATATCAAGTGAATTCAACTTCAACCCATTGCACAAGCAAGTGGCTATCAGGACTCAGTAGCTAAGTGGATAACGCGATGGCGTTTGAAGCGAACGGTACTGAGTTCGAGTCCCGGGGTGAACATCAACTCTAAGATGCAGGTACATCCAGCTGACGGGTCTCAAATAGAACAAAACGCGCGTCTTGGATTGCACTGCTAGCCACTATCCATCTTTGCTCATACCATTGTATGTTGACATAGTAATTTTAGTGGTTAAACGTTTATTGTTAGACCTTGCGGTCCTATATTTAATTTCTGATAATGCCGAGAGTTCACAGTTGTGAGGGATACCATACTAGGATGAAACCACCTATTGTTTCGATAATATCAGACTTAATACAACTAGTTAAGATTAACTTAAAATATATATGATATTTAGAAGGGGTTTTGTAAAGATTGAAGTAATTTCAGTAGTTATGATCATGAGTCAACTGAAGCTAGACCACCATGGAAAACCTCAAAGAACTGGACGGCCGTCTCGTCCTATTGTGGGACTCCCCATCAGTGTGCGTCCACGAACTCACCCCGCGAGGTTCAAACCCGGGACTTGTCAATCTCGCGAGCGAGCACTTAACTACCAGACTACTGAGTTGGCATCAGAGTTACTATCTCGCAAATGACCTGATTGAATTGCACTGGTCACTGCTTCTTACTAGAACTTTAGGATATACATCTTGAAGTCAGTCACTAGTGGGTATATGTTAGATGGTTAAGCGCTCGCGCGCGAGACTGATAGGCCCTGGGTCTGAGACCAGGATTCACACTCATAACCATTCAAGTAAGTTGAACCCACAATGTTCAAGCAAGATGTTGAACAATAAAAAATCGAAAAAGTCATTGAATCCGAATTCAGCCACATATATTCTGAAGTTTATTCATTTTATAGCAAAATGTATCGATTTCCATCTCTACACCAAAAGTAGAATGAAACGCATGTTCTACTAATATTTCATTTATTGATGAAAAATACTTAGAAAATAAGAAATAAACCTCTCCAAAGCCAATGTTTTCATTATTAGCATAGGCGGTTTGTAGGGATTATCAAGTTTTATAGTTTATATTACAGGCTAACCTCGAACAATGTGAGGCGCTTACCTACTAATGGCATTGAAAGACAATTGCGCAATATTGTAAACTGGTTGACCTTAAATATGTTAATCATTGGATACTGACTTAACAGTCTAAATACTCGTCTCTAACCCTTAATGTTCTATGTTCAAATCTTAGGGGGATCATAGATATACAGTGATGGGCGAAACAATTATTCAGTACTTCCTGAGCTTTTATTTTTATGTGAGGTTCATCTAAAATGTAAATTGTAAACTAATAGTTTAATAATGTAACTATGTATAAGGAACGTTACATAATGACTTTTATTTCAATAGTTCCCAGATAGGACGAAACACGCGTCCTGGATTTCACCGACAGCCACTATCCATCTTTGCTTATAAAGCTTGTGACTTAAGGCAATATCGAGCCAGTCCGCACAGGATGCACATATGCCAACAAGAGACTAATCAATTACAGTCGTAAAGAACAACGGGACGATACAAACAAACAACATCAATTGAATATAACTTCACTCCATTGCACAAGCAGGTGGTTATCAGGACTCAGTAACTAAGTAAATAACGTGGTGGCGTTTGAACTGAAAGGTACTGGATTCGAATCACAGAGTGAGTGTCAACTCTGAGATGCAAGCACATCCAGTTGACGAGTCCCAAATAGGATGAAACGCGAGTCAAACTAGTTTCCACATCTAGCCACTACCTATTTTTGCTTATAATTTATTCATGTTTAGATATATCTGTCTGTCCGCTTAATCTTCGAATAAAAATTGACAACGCTTTTATGATAATCATAGTTTTAAGTAAAATCCCCATAGAAAATAATACGATTGGCTTAATACATGAATGTGCGTATTCCATTCTATTAGTTAATATAGTGTAAGAGAGTAAACCAAAAAAGGAGAGAGAGAGAGAGAGAGACAAAGACTAATGAACACAAATTTGGTGACAAGCCGAAAATAGTCTATTACTGTATGTCATTTTATCTACCGACCAACAGAAAAACTCGTTGATTTTAATGTCCGCCTCACTATATATAACATATTCTTCTGAAAAATAAAATATCATTTTACCTTTCTTCACCCCATTCTATGTTGACGATATATAGTGTGTGAGGGTATATAATGATAATCTGTTAACTCTTACACACACACATATATATGCATATGCATAAAATGGTATTTACATACCTATTTTTACTACATTTTAGGGGGTAGACAAATATTAGTCTTGTTGTTGTGGTGGTGGTGTTTTTTTTTCTCTTCAAAATATAATAAAGCAATGAAAGGGGTAAGAAAAAGGGAAGTTCAATGAAAAATTATACAGACCAAAAAGAATCAAATTTTTCTTTACTTTTTTTTTAATGGAATGAATATGAAAGTTTACCGACAAATGGAAGAAATTGTGATATTTGTTATTGTTGATATGATGAGATAGACTTTTCATTGCTTTAACAATGATACTATTCATAATTTAGCATAAAACTTTAAGGATATATATATATATATATACATAGTGAGACAAGAGTACACAATTACCCTAAATATAGACACATGAAGTTATTTTCCCTTCTTTTACAAATACCTCTCACAATAATATGCATATCATTATATAAACAAATAGAGGTACACAATTTTACACCAATCCTATTAAATGATTATTATAATTACCACAAAAGATAGATTTCACGTTCCTTCTGTTTAACACTTCTTCCTTTAATAAATCCTCCCTATAAACACAAACACACACACACGCACAAACACACACACATGTTTATCAACTAGGAAACATTACAATTTATTATTGTACGATTCAAATCAATTTACTATTGATAAATCTAAATGAACAATTGAGAATGCTTAAAAATACAATAGATTATCATCAATCTTTAAATCATCATCATCATCATCCTCATGATCATCATCCATCATTGCATAAATCATTACCATTAATATCATCAATATCAAGACCATCAACATTGAATACTTCTTCGAAATATTCAATAAAATATGGTCATTTATATAAATTATCAAATAAATTTAAATTAAATCGTATTAAAGATATTTCATTATCATCAAATAGATTAACAAATAAACGTAAATTAATTACAAATTATACACATAAATCAATGAAACAAAAACGTTTCACTATGTATCCATCATTATCTATTTCATCATCTATATCTAAATCATCACAATATTCATCTGGATCATTCATAGATAATTGTTCAATTGAAAACAACAATGATAATAGTAATTATTCAACAGTATTAGAAGATCTAGATAAACAACATGGATTATTATGTAAATCTTTATATAATCATCTCTCTTCTAATTCATCCACTTGTAAGATGATCATAGATGAATGTGACAATAATGATAAATTAACAAATGATCTAAATCATTTAACAAATGATCAAAATTCATTGATGAAATTATCTGGTAAAGCATCAGCATTTTCAATTGAATCGATCATTTCAAAAAATCAGAAACAAATTCTAAATTCTAATGGAATTATTCATTATGGTGATGATGATGATGATGATGATGCAATCAATAATGATCAAGATTTTTCAATGTCACAAGTTTCTTTATTATCAACAAAGAAATATATCAATGATCACAAAAATATAATCAATTCTGATCGATTGGAAAATCATTCATTATCATATTTATCTAGTCCAATATCAAATGGTAAGTAATAGGAATAATTTAATTGATTTGTAATGAGTGATTATTTCTATGGAACTTTTTCCTATTGGTAGACCATAATTGATCTTAGATTAATAAATCATTGTTCTATAACTTTTATACCGTGCTATATGATAAAAGAATTGGGTTTTTTTTTAAAAAGATTCTATTAGAAATGTTAATTTCAGTTAACAGGTTAGCAATATTATTTATTTCTATTACGTATTAAGTAGTATGTATCAGTCAGTCAGTCAGCCAGTTAGCTACAACGTAGAACCAGGCATACATATGCATCGGTCCAAGTTGCCATTACCTCATTAACACAACAAGATGGACACCGGATTCATAAAAGTAGTTAATTCAGAGGTGGTAATATATAAAAGAAAGATTGCAATAAGGATATAGTACAGGAAGAAAGAATTAGTTCGTAGAAAGAAAGATATGAAGCGATTTTAATCTCTTAGTTTAAGGGAAGAAAAAGAGTGTATACACCGACGCCATTGTGATTGATTCTGAGCTATGTCATCTAGAGTTTCCAACCATTGGCTACGATAGTCACGCGGACCACAACCAAGTAGTCTGCATCTACCAACATAGCTAAGACTAGAAGTTAGTGACTTCAAGGACTAGTGCAACATTTTGGTTTGGCCGCTCCTAACTTTCTTCCAACCATCCCCTACCCCGGTTAGCATTGCACGTCGTGGTAATCGGTGTTCAGGCATACGTAATACGTGGCCCAACCATCTCAGTCGATGAAGATTCATAACCTCATCAACTGATTTACCATCATTCCCTAATACCCTGCGTCTAACCTCACTATTACTTACCTGGTGATCCCAGCAGATGCGAGCTATATTTCTAAGGCATCTGTGGTCAAATACTAGTAGTTTACGAGTGTCTTCTACTCTTAATAGCCATGTTTCGCAGCCGTAAGGTAGAACAGAAAGAACTGCTGCGCATTCCACTTCTCCCTTTATTAATATACGGATATGTATACACAATTATGATATTCCCTGTATTCCATACACTTTGATCATGATAATCTTATAAAAATCTTCTGATTAAATTTGAACAAATAACTTGTTTCACAATCGTTGAATACCTAATTGATGGTATCATGTTATAAAGAGATTGAAGTTAAAAAGGACTCCAATGTCTCGTTCAACAATCTGACCTAAGTATCTTCAAATGGTAATAATCAAACATCAAAATTATTAATCATTATTCTTTATTATTAATCTATACAGACTATTAAAAAGGCACTATTATTGTAATCCCTCATTACTTATCAAAAATAGAAGTGATCAACGTATTAACCATAGACATTTATTAAAGTACTAAATGAATTCTGTAAGTATTCGGTTTCAATAAAGTAAGATTAATCATTACATAACAGGATCATATGCAAATTTATTGATTTTCTAGATTCTGTTTATTTGTTTACAATCTGGAAACAATTCTGTTACTAATTATTGGAAGAAGGAAGAAAACAACAATTCAAAATATGTGTTCATCCTTTATATCAGAAAAATCATATAGTTAGGCTTCAAATAGTTTGCTAATTGACAAGCTAAATATCTGGACAGAGATAAAATTCATGAAAGTAGAAGTTTAATAACTTATTTAAGAAGGTAGAAAAATAGGGAAATTATGTTTGAGAGTCCAATTAGTGTCTGTTAAAGATAGGTATCTATCTTAGACAATGGATGAATTGTTGTACAATATCATAAATCGATTGAAGTTATATATATTAACACTTTTGGGTGATGGTTAAGTGATCTAAAGGTTAAGCTTTCGTTCATGAGACTCATTTTTCTGAGTTCGAGTCCCACATACAAGATGGTGAATGCGAACTGTTGAGGAGAATAATACTAGGACGAAAGGGACATCCAGTTCCTCCAGGTTTTCCACAATGGTCTAGTTTTAATCGACTTATGGATTCAACTCTTAAAAATTACTTCAGTTTTCACAAACCCCAATTCTAATAATATTTAAGGTTATTGAAAAAAAGTTACATAAAGAACTTTTGAAACTAGAATCACCAAGGCAAACAGCGGTTAACAACTATATCTTTAATTTAAATCTTTGTATAACGACAATTCCAGTATAAACATGATTCATTTAATGATTATGTTGTAAGATTTTGAAATATATCAACTGTTATAAAAATGATCAACAACTGAACTGTCGAATGCATCATGTCTTTTTAGCATAATCGTTCATAGTAGTGTACTCAAAGATATAGAAATTAACCCTCTTTTCTATTATCTCACTGTATGAGCTTTATTATGTACATGTAAACTGGTACAAACGAATTAGATATAAGATAAGATGGGTAATTGTCTGTGTTTGATTATTACAATAATCTCATGAGTTCGATAAAGAGAGACTGGGTTTTTAAAAAGTATTTTTCCTAAAGGAATAATGCTATTGCTCTTAGGTTGTAAATAGATGAATAGAATTGAATAAGTAAATGATCTTTATATTCGGAGACGGGTTTCGTGGATATTCTAGTAATTTTAATAATTGAATTTATGAGTGAATTGAACTTAGACAATCATGGAAAACCTAGAAGAACTAGATGATCGTTTCGTTCCAGTATAGGATTCCTCATCAGTGCGCATCTATCTCGCGAGGCGGGATATTTATATAATTCTACAAATATTATTATTCATACTTTATTCAACGTTGTAAATAATGAAAATGGGCAATTAAAAAGGAGATGATACTGAAGTTTGAAACATCTTATTAGTACGATCTCTACCACTTGAATTTGAAACTTTTAGATATTGTAACGAGTATTCATAATTTGATGTTTTCAGTTGATATTCCCTTTACATTTTTCCTCAAATCGATAGGATTTATTAGCACAACGAAATATTTTTGTAAAGTCTGAACTTATTCGTAACCTTTCATTAAAATCATGAATCGATCTAAGTTGAGCCACTCATGAAAACATGGAAGCACTGAACAGCCGTTTAATCCTAGTAATGGACTCCTCAACAGTGCTCATCCATGATCCTCTATGCGGGAAGCGAATCCAATGCTTCTGAGTTTTCAGTGGTAGTTTAACTTAGATCAGTTAATAATTTCAATAGAATTCAACAATCACCACAACCCCATACTGAAAATTATTTATTACAATTGGAAAATATTGTAATGGACAATTATTTGGAAGGAATCTGTGTGGATGTAAAATAAACCAGAAATTACCCCCTTCACATATGAGAAGAGAAAGAAGTAACTATATTCATACAGAAAACTACATTTTTCTAGGTTGTAATTGTGACTAAAAGAATAGACTTTTAACACTGTCAGTAAGTTTGTATATGGATTAAAAGATTGTAGAACAATAGTTATGTGGTGTGATAAATCATAATGAACATTGAAATGTACTTCTATTTTACACTGAAAACAAACGATAATCATTAGCAGTGATACTAGAAACTGAGAATAATAGTGTATTGGGTATGTTACGAAATATATTTTTTAAAACTTGCATATACAGAAGGTAACATTCTTCATTGATTTTTTCTTGGGAAAAAAAGTCTTTTAGAAATACTTTCTGGTACTCTAAATAAATTCACTTGGTATTGTTTGCTTTGTATCTTCCCATTGAGGTTTAAGACTGCAATTGATCAGTCTGTTATTGGCATATGTGCATACTGTGCGTATGCCTCGATATTGCCTTAATTCACAAGCTATTTGTAAGTAATAATGAATAGTGGCTAGCAGTGGAGTCCAGGACGCGCGTTTTGTCCTATTTAGGACTCGTCAGCTCAGTGGCTGAGTGGATAACGCGATGGCGTTTGAAGTGAATGGTACTGGGTTTAAGTCCCAGAGTGAATATCAACTCTGAGATGCAGGTGCATCCAGCTGACGAGTCCAAAATAGGACGAAACGCGCGTTCTGGATACCCTAAATAAAGTTTAAAGAGAAGTTAACTTGAAATTATGTATAAAATAGACTATTGAACTATTATCCAATGAAAATTATACTAGTTTTGTTATGAAATGAGAGGTAAACAAATTTGATGATCTAATTAATTAACATACTGTTTCTTAAATTACTAGAGTATGTTAAAATGAACAATCAATGTTTGTACAGCCATATATTAACTATAAATACTCAATATTTGATTATGATGAACGAGTAGTTTATCTTTGAATGATCTAATGATCCATTTGTTGTTGTTGTCGTCGTCGTTGGACCGATTCACACGAAGAATTAAAAGTTCATTTTTCTAACCCACTAAGTACGTAAATCGATAAAAAAACAATACGCACATTACTTGAAAATAAATACATTGCTCTATAATATTTTAAATGGGAAGTAGTCTAGTGATATTTGGATAATACATTTTAATTGTTGAGATCATGAGTTAATTGAAGCTAAATCACCATGGAAAACCTGAAAGCAATAGATGGCCGTTTCGTCATATTGTGGGACTCCTCAGCAGTGCACACCCACGATCCTACCTCGCGGGAATCGAATCCAGGACCTATCAGTCTCGCGCACGAGCATTTAACCACTAGACCACCGGGCCGGTATCCAACGGTGTTAATGTCTAACTTCAACTAATCCACGAGATTGAGCGACACATCTATCATTGTCATCAATGAGTTAATATCCCACAACTGAGGAGTCCCACAATATGACGAAACTGCTGTCCAGTGCTTCCAGGCTTTTCATGGTGGTCTAGCTTCAATTGACTCATGATCTCAACAACTGAAATTACTAAAATCTCCACAAAACCCCTTCTGATACTAATAGATTATAGTCATTATTAAATACTAATATAGTATGTGGTTGATTAATTCACATAGGATTACGCTTTCACCGATTTACTAAAATGCACAGCTAGATGATAAAGATTTAGAACAAAGTGGTAACATAAATATCGTTATATTTCTCTCTCTCTCTCTCCCTCTGTCCTATGTTGAATACATGTTTTTGTATCAGCTATTAGTAGGTAAAGACTGAATAGGACTTTATTATAACCA